TCGGCCTTCGATTCGCGTCGCGTGTTCCCTTCGCTCGCGGATTCCGTTTTCTTCGTAAGTGATTCGCGTCGCGCGTGTATCCAAGCGATATACTACAACTCGATCGGACTGTTACTGAATTTGTCGCACATATGTCGTTTATCCGAAAGGCCGACATTTCCTCGAAGACGCAGTTCGCGATATTTCATACGCAATTCGCAACTCGAAGTGTATTCCCCAAGAGAGACGGGATTTTTCGTGAAACTTCCGTTAGATTACCGCGGTCGGGAGTGAATTACAGGTGACGTGGGACGCGAGGACCATTGCAGTGTCAGATGCAGCGACAGGATGGCTGGTGGACCCTGGACACCGTGGGACGACGCGCAATGGTGAGTGCTCAATTTAGACGCTCATATAGTAGACACAAAGCGTCACTTTACGTAGATTGCATGCATGTAGACGTAAATCGCATTGGATCCGACGGGAAGTAAAGTAAGAATTGGAATTTGCAATTCGTCGGAGTTAAGTAAGAATGATCCAACCAAAGAATTTAGCTCTAAGATTTTCGCAATAGTACAACGAGCATTTCCATGTTTTTAAAAGTACTGACTAGCTCAATCCTTCGAAAAATGTGCAAAAAGTCGCGACTAGTAAAAATTTTAAAAACTGTTTCTTAATTCATTTCAAGTATATATAAGGAATTTTTTTGTTTGGTTTAAAAAGATGTGAATGGAGTATCCATTGATAAAAACTTATAATTTTTTGAATTTGATCATTCTTGCATAAAAATGGCTAATTGAAATTTCGACTCGGCAGGCTTCCTTCTCGTCGGATTATTTTTTGATGATACATTAAACTGATATATTTCAACATGTCATATTTATGTGCTTTGTATATGTTATATATGCTTTTTTATGCTCTATATATATTTTGTATATACTCTATGTATGCTCTATATATACTATTCGATTAGTATACTTTATAACTTGTTATGTCGTATTATGTATGACATACTATCTCTTTGAAAATATTTTTTATGCATATTGTTTGTTGTTGACAAGACGACAAATTAAATTTCGATAAATTAAAGACAACAAATTAAATTATTAAGCCAAGACTCGAACCGAAATGTTTCGATTTCCCGTTAAATTATTAAACCGAGATTCAGACCCGAGTGTTTTGAGACTTCGCTAAACCAGTAAGTCGAGATTCGAACCGATGTGCTTTGAGGCTCCGCTAAATTATTAAACCGAGATTCAAACGAAGTGTTTTAAGCTAATTTGTTAAGCCGAGTTAGTTAAGCTTGGGATAATTTTTTAAAGTTTCGTAAACAAATTTTCGCGTTTGCAAAGGTGTATTTTCGAAAGTAACATGTGTGTATATTTCGCTCTGCATCGTCTTTTGGATGATAATGTGTCTTGATGTCTACTTCCTCAGTAACACGCCCAGAATTTTGGAAATAATTTTATAATAGGCCAAAGTCGCGTTCATAACATTGGATCCAACTTAGCGTCGTAGGAAAGTCGGATTCTCGGGCATATTCTGAAAGTCAGTCATTGCAGGTTAGGTCATATACTGTTAGCATGTAGAGCATATTCTGGGATAGCTTTTAGAATTTTTTAAAGGAACATTCGCGCTTGAAAATGTATATTTTCGATAATTACGTCAAGTGCGCGCATTTCGCTCTGCATCGTCTCCCGGATGACAAAGTGTGTTAGTGTTACTCTACTCCCTCAGTAACACGCCCAGAATCTTGAAAATTATTTCCGAATATTCCAAAGTCGCCCCCATAACGTTAGATACATTTTGTTAGATTTCTGCTACATTTGTACACGTATTATCTGACATAGCAGATCATACTTCGTTACTACCAAAATTATGTCAGCATAGTATGCAGCACACACTTAACAAAACCTGACTTTTGCAGGTTTGGCTATCTGGTTAATTACGAATTTGAAGTCAGTTTTTGAAAATTCCAGGCGGCAGATCGATATGGCGGACGACAATTTTAAAACTCATTCGATTTTCGTGAAAAATGATATTCGAGGGTTTTTGGCATCGTTGATCACAAATTCGGAATTACTTTTTTGAAATTCAAGCTATTTACAGGCTCAACTTCACACATTTACGGAAAGAAATGTAACTTATTCCGATTGTTGGTATTTTAGCTCGCCATATTGAGTTCGCCATCTTAAATTTTTGAGGTTGCGTTATTACCTACAGCTCAAAAAGCATCAACCAAGTTATTTTTTACCATAGGTTTATTTAGCAATATTTTTGGCAAATGAATTTTTAAAAAATATTTTTTTACATTAATTTGTTTATAAATAATTAAATTTGCAAAATTTAATGTTGCAAATGATTCTGTTAGAGGAGCATCTAAGCTTCACAATGAATCCATATTTACCTCCTCAAGGTAAAAAGTGTATCATATATGATATACTATGACTTAAAGGGTTAAAATGAATTGATATCACATGATCAATGCTATCTCTCTCATACTGAGGTCACTATTTTCATGTTGAATTCAATGATTATGTTAATTAAAAATTCTTCCAACGATTCGATACAATTCGAGTGAAATTTCATCGATTCTATTTGATTCAAATTCGAAATTAAAATTTGAGATTCGATTCGATTCGACATAAAAAATTTTTGATTCGCATATCTCTAGCTTACAGATATCTAAAAAGGATAGAATTAATGTTTCATTATATTGTAGTTTTATATAGTGATTTACATTTATATCGTATTATATTATATTTAATATATTTTATCACATTACGAGATTACACAGTAACTCACTTACGGATTTCATTCTTTTGAAAAAAGATAGAATATAGAATTCTTAATACTTGTATTTTATGTTTAATAGGTTAATAAGCTATTGATTATATACCAACCTTTACAGTTACAGTGCTTGTAATAGTAAAACTTGGTAGTAAAACTTCAAACACCAATGTTTATTTTTTATCGTTTATTTATCGTTTATTTTTATTATTTTCATCACATATAGAGAGAAGTGTTTATATAAAACAATAAACTATAAAACAAATGTATCACGAGGTACTCTTTCTATAAAAGACTGTCAACTCAAGATAAATTTCCATGATCATCAATAGGCACTGGAACGATCCGAAGGTAATTGTAAAAGAATATATATCCTATCTTTTTAATCATTCGGCATAAATATCTTTTAAACATTTAATGTATAATAAATAAAAATTTTTTGTATTTATTTGTTTGTAATTATTTTCAAATTTTTCATCAGTATGAATATAAATCTACAATGGAGTTTATTTGGTATTTTTATGAAACTTGTATTTCTGCAATTATCATCAACGTCGATATGATACATAAAATTATTTTCAAATTTTTCATCAGTATGAATATAAATCTACAATGGAGTTTATTTGGTATTTTTATAAAACTTGTATTTCT